TTCTTTATTTTCTGAAAGAAATCTTCTCCATTCTTTGTTTTGAGTTTGAGAAATGGAGAAACCGGGACCGGGACCGGGAGGTTTTTTTGGTGATATGGAAGTGTTGTTTCTACAAAAGGACATACGGATAGAGCAGAGTGAGTTCTGTTTTGAGTACAAGGAGAATGCTCACCATCAATTTATGCTTATATCTTCACTAAACGATCACTCTATTTTGATCCCTTCAAAGGCACTTGCTGCCTTCTTGGATGTTTTGGAAGGCTTTTGTTCTGATTTTGAAAACAACCAACAGAATAAGAAAATTAGCAAACCAAAACAACTTAAGATCGATGACAAAGTGGTATGTGTACTGTAGCTTTCATTGCTCTTTTTTTTCTTTTGGGACAGTTTTTTTATTCATGGGTTTCAACTTCTGAGTTGGAAAGCTTTTTCTTTGAGGTTTTATTTTATTGGTTCTTTTTCTTTTTCTTTTTCTTTCTGTTGTGTAGGAGTTTCGCTTTATGGTTGGACAGAACAAATGGGGCCAGTTTCTAAAGGTAAAGTAAAATGGTTGTCTATTATCTCCACCTATTTTTAAGTGCTTGTAAATCATAATAGTACCTTTGACTTGTTGGGAGAGTTTTTATTTCAAAGGTCAGTGGCCATTTCGTTGTAAGCATTTTAGAAATTTGTTGGAAGGTTGAGGAAAACTACTAAAAAGTATCATCAATTCAAAGAACTAAAATGGGCTGGAAAATCAGCTATCTTAGATTCATGAATGCTGTAGAGGTTGCTTGGCCAAGTGTGGGTTTTATGTATATTATGAAGTTATACATGACTGGTGATGATTTTGATATCTTTTAAATTAAAGGTGAAGAAGTGAGATATGTGGATTGTTAGAATCCACGTTGTGTATATGAATATTTGCCATGGAACTTTGCACTATTACAGGAACTTTTCTGCTGGGTATTTGTGTGTCAATGTAGAAATATAAGCTCAATGCTGAGCCTTGAGATGTGCTTCTTGAAATGATCTAGCACTCTCCTTGAAATATGAATAATTAAGCAGAAGAACTGTATCTTGAGATGTTGAACCTTTGCATATACTTGATTTTCAAGACACCTACTTATTATTTCTTTTTCACCTCCACAAACAAAAGTTTTTTCTCAATGATTTTGTTGGATTTGCTTGGGTCATCTTTTTTATATTTCAAATAATTTACTATAATATGATTGCTGCAGAGTAACAAAACCACTATTAGGAAATTTAGGCTTCAAATTAGTAGCATTTCAACTTTAAATAATCCCATGATTGGGATTGAAATCATTTGAACTTAGCATTCTGTGGAGTCCAGGACACTTTGAACCTTCTCATCTTGTATTTGTGATGTGGTTTTCTACAAATTTGAGCTTTGCTTTCCGGTGCAGTCTTGAATACTTTCGAACTTTCTCATCATATATCTTCAGGTATGGTTTTATACACAAGCTTTTATCGTCAATTTTTTTTTTTCTTTTTCTTGGGAAGCATTACTTCACTCATGTTTTTCTATGTACCTCAGCACATTCTTCATCTGAAGTTGTGCTCCTGTCCCAACTGAACAAGTTATTGATCAAAATTTTTTAGGATTTCTGCTGATTGAGCTTACATGTTGCATTTTCTTTTCTACTTATCTGCACTGTGGTCATTTTTGTTTCTTTATTTTCACCTTTCAGAAATATGCCTTGTCTTTATTTGTTTTGATCAGTAATAAGAGTGAGAGAAATCAACAAATATTGATATGATATAGTGCATTTTGAGCTGTCTTAGTTCTGTTGTGTTTGATGGTTGCAACGTTCTGCTTGCAGGTTTGGAAAGCGTCATCAAGGGAAGCAAAAAACACCATATTCATTCCTTCAGAAAACAATGGTTGGGAACATTTCAGAAAGACATTAGTGGAGCTTGCTGACACTGCAAAACATATGTGCCCTCCTTTTGAGGTCTTGGCTTTTCTGTTTTATTTTCTGTGGTAATAGTTGGTTTCTCTTTCAAGAAAAGATCTTAATGGATTCTTCTTCTACTTGTGATGACATAGACAAGATTTGATCCTTTGAAACGACCAAACAAGGTATCAGATGCCAAAGTTGACTCCACTGATAGTCCAAGTGCTGAAAATTTGACAGTGGCAGAGTTATATATAGAACCTTCACAGAATGATAATACTGGCATTGGGGAATCAAAAATGCTGAGAGCCGGCTTGAAGAAATTCTACTTTGATCTTGGAAGCAATAAGAAGGGCAATTTCTTAAAGATATCTGAGGTAAATTTATCATAGTATATTAATGATTCTTAGATACTAGTACTTCGTATTTTTTCAAAATCTCTTTTGTATTGAAATTGCAGGTGATGAATGGTTATCGTTCATCCATCATAATCCCATTGGCAAGATTGCAGCAGTTCCATGAAATGGTTGGTCATTTCATCCAGAACAAAAATGAAACATCAGCTAGTACTAGTAAACATTCTGGTTCAGGAAGGTAAACTGAGAGCTGGACTTTTGAAAGAAACTAAGGTGGAAAAAGACTTAAATGTTACTTAGTGTTTGGCCTCACACATCAAAACCAATATCAGTTTTCATATTACCCTTATATATGGAAGCTTGAACAAGAACTTCATACAGCCTGTTAAGATTGCAGTATATACTAACATCAGAGCTCATTAATGGGGACTCAATCTTTGATATTTGGCTATTTGCTGCTAGATTGATGTTGTTGAATGCATGGTTTTATGTTAAGAAAGTTTTAAGTGTACAATTCTTGTTCAATGGTTCATAACCATGGTATATTGGTATTTTCCTATAACACTGAATCACCCTATGGTTGGAGATAAATTATCGCTTGGAAAAACTGGAACATCATTAAGCAGGGAACCAACAGTTGCAGGACATTTTCTTATATCATGCCAAGTCATGTTGGTCAGTCCACTCCCATGTGGACCACTGAAAGTGGCTCTTCAGAACCATGGGAAATTATTAAAAGGAGATAAAAATTAATACAGTTATTCTGACAATTAATCAAAAATATACTGTATTCTACTTTGTGTATTTTAAAATGATACTATATTGACAAATTAGATTTAAAGCTCCTTTGTAGTATGATATCATGTCATAAATTTTTAATTATCCATCTCCATAACCTCAAGCTCACTGTCAAATTTTGGTCCAAGTTTTGTTTATATTGAATGAGGCATTGATATTGAGAAAGTTAAGCTCACTTAAGATGATCAAGACTTAAAATTTCGAGTTTGTGCTAAATAAGTCCCATTTTTTTTACTTGGGAAAAATTATCAAAGAGAAAAATAAATGCTATTAACTTGTTACCTAGTAATTTCCAACCAGATATCTAGCTCCATCTCAATTTCTCAAATCTTTGTCACTGCTCTCTCCTTCTTTTTCATAAATTATCGTCATCAACTACCACTGAATGATCTTATAATAAAGGAGTAAAGAAGTACTTCATAGATTCTTAAGTTCTGATGGTAAAAGAGCAAAGAGGTTCATTACAGGTTCTTAAGTTTAACTCTTCCTAGACACTAATAAGGATGATCACCGAGAGAATTTACCCAATTATTCGTTTAAAAACCTTAAAAGACTAGTTTGAACATACTAAAAAAACAAAAAACAAAAAAAACAAAAAGGTTGTGCTAACGGTAATGAATGGCAGACAGTTGTTGCATAATCTAGTGACATGTGTCCAGAGTAATACAACATTGTTTTCATTCGAAAGGAAATGAAGCTTACTTAGACAGTGCAGAAACTGTTTCATTTGTTTTGTTGTTTATGCATGCTTTTCTGAGATTAATGGCCTAGTAATAATACTGGCCACCAAAGGAGTAGGGTCAAAACTTTCCATCAAATGATTTTACAACATTTGTTAAAACATATTTAAAAATAATAATAAATAAATCTCTTCAAAACTCTTGATTACCATGTCAAATCATATGGGTTAGAGGCTGCTTTTAAAATTCGAACAGATGTATGAAGCAGGTTCTTGAATGGACAAGACCCTAGACACATGGGATAACAAGAGAGGGGCTTCCAGATTTTGAATCTTGAATAATGTCAAAAATCTAATTGATGGGAAAGGAAGGCCATGGACAAACGGTGGACACACCTTGGACGCACGGAAAGAAAAGAGAACAGAGTTTTCAATTTCAAAGCCTAAATTTTGGGTAATGCAATGCTAGAAGTAAGAAAGGCCACGTTCACTCAACAGCCGACGCACGCAATATCTTAACCAATCTTTGCTTTTACCCTTTAACAAGTGTTTTTAGCAAGTGCTTTCTCTGTTCAATCAATTTAGCTCACAGCATATGCTAATGCACCATCTGCTTTTGTGGACCAGTCTATCAGAAAGGGACACAAACTATAAGTTTTGATTTCTGCAAATTTTGTAATGCTAATGGCCAAATTTTATGGTCCTCTTTGTGGCCCTGGATTGTGCTATCAACCATCAGATCAATTGGTTTTTGGCTGTTGGCCACAAGGAAAGCTCTATACTTTTCTTGAAATTTCTATGATCTTTTCAACAGTTCATTAACTTAACAGAAAGAGAAAGAGATTATTTCAAACTATCAGGAAGGTGACATTTTTCGTTCCCTTCCCATTTGCGACGTCGGTTTTATGGTTTCCATTTTGTATAATTCTGCATTTTTTCCTTCAAGGGTCATATTCATTCCTGAGGTTTCTCAAATATCCTGATAGTGTATCATTAAATATCATATTGTCTATATATCAAAAATAGCAAATTATTCTGATGACTAAACCCAGTTTGAATCATGAAATGGAATCTCATAGTATAGTGTTTTCACCAGAATGCTCGAGAAATAAAAGAAAAATCATCTTTATATCACATAATACAGATTTAATACAAGTGCTAAATAGGTTAGCTCGATAGATCTTAGTTTTCACCAGAATGCTCGAGAAATAAAAGAAAAATCATCTTTATATCACATAATACAGATTTAATACAAGTACTCAATAGTTAGCTCTATATATATATATATATATATATAGCTTTTATGGATTAAAAAGTATCTTTTCATCACTCAAATAGGAAACTAAAAGATATTTACAACCACAAAGGGCTAGCCTCCAACAAGAGCAAACCAACAAAACACAAAAGAGATTTGCTCTTCAAACACCCTTGAGATCAGCAAGCTAGGATCCAAAAAACTAAATCCAAGAGCCTGCAATTCCTTTGGGACACACATACAGTATGATTAAACCTCTACTAGTTTGTTCACTTTTCTGGCCTTGGATATTTTACATGAAAGAAAGAACACAAAATGGACCTGTAAAAGGGTAATGGAGGACGGTGGGGCTGGCAAAAACTAACCGCATCATCTCCCAGAAGCAACTAACGGTTTTTCTTTACTGTCTTGACCAGATTTTACGGTTGTTGAAGGAAGAGGTAAGACGAGATCTGAGATTGTATGAGGTGTGACTACATGTGGTACAGGTAATTCCACTTCGGCAGGGGCAGGTGTTGGTTGTGGTTTTGGTGTATAGTTGAAGGAGAGGTCTTTGTTAGCAGCCAATGCAACGAGTTCTTTTTCCTCCAGCCCTTTTGTTGGCTCAAGGCTGCAACGGTCCGTAGTGTGCTTAGCCAAAGCATCTTTAAATTTCTTGATCTGTGAATATCATGGTCACATAAAGAAAGTAAAACAGTCAGTATGGTGGAAGCGAAGTATGCACAAGATAAATGAGTGATATTACAAAAATGCGCACAACTGAATCATCTTGAAGAGTATGGCAACAACTGGTTTTATACATTTTCTGGAAAATTAAGCTCTCAATTAGTTTGATCCATGTGTTCTTAGTGTATTTCAAACTGAGAATAAATTTGACAAATGAAAACAACCTCAGATGCTATTAGGGAAAGTACATATGTTTACAGTGAGTGGAACTGGGTAATTACTAACAACAATAATATTCATTAACTAATCATTCATGATTCACTAATGGTCTTCACATGGTAGTTAAAAGACATACATATCCTAAAGAATTAGATAACAACAGATCGAGCACGAACTAACCGTGGCATTAGTGCAGCTAAAGCTACACAGTCGCCCGTGAGCCCCTCTGTAAAACCGGAAAAACGGCAGCACATGAACATTCAGACTATAACACATGGATTTGTGCTCCTCATAATTCACCTGAAGAAACTGCACATCTGGGTGCATCTCTGCCAATTGACATATCTGCCACAAGACAAAAACCCCATTCACAAGATTAATACTTTAACATAAACATAAAAGTATTGACATAAAGTTCCCCACACACATATGCATATGTTTGAAGATTATACCTTGGGATGGAGAGCTTTGCAGCCACCACAACCAGGAGAAAAGAAATCAACAACAACAAGTTTGTCCCCAGCATTCAGAAGGAAGTCTACAAGATCTTGTGCAGAGTCCACCTCTCTCATGTTTGGTTGCAGCCCCTTTACCCACCACTTTTGGGATTTCCCTATAAGGCCGATCTGCTTAACAGATCAAAGAAGAAAATTTTATTTAATTCATACTAATCATCAAAAATCAAACATACCTATCAAAAATCAATACCATCAAGAAGAAATTAAACATGGCAGATAACATGTCCAGGAACTTTACCGTGGTGATAATAAAAGGAAAAAAGAACAAATCAAATTTTAATCTTTAAATTACAATTTATGTATGTCAAAGTTTTAGCTTAACTATTAATGGATATCAACCTATGAGGGAAAAATTAAAAATCCATATAATTTTTCATTTAAAAGAAACCTAAAACAGCTCAAAGTTTGATCTTAAAGACACATAAACAATTAAAGAGAACAAATATTTTTTAATTGAAATATAGAAATTTGTTACCTACCTGTGCTTTAATGGAGCCTTTTGATGAATTTCCTCCTCCGGGAAAACCCTTATTTTCTCTCAAAACAACTCTCTTTCCTTTAAAATCACTGCTCAAAGATGAAAAAAGTCTCAAAGCATGTGATTTCAATTTCACTGGAAAACCCCTCATAGAACACGAAGCGGGACAGCTTTCTGGAAGCAAAGAGAGGCCATTAACATGTTGATTTGGATTACAGCATGAAAACAGATTTGCTTTGGTCAACACATCAACCATCTTGTCTCACAACACAAAAAAGAAGAAAAAACACTTGCCCAAAACAAAGAAAGCAGTTTCAGTGGAACCCAGATGAAAAAAGAAACAAGATTTTGTTGAAAGAGATGATTTCTATTGTGAAAAATACGTTCGTGAAACGAAACCCAGAAACAAAAGTAGGTTAAAGGATTGGATTTTAGTTGCTTAAACAACAATAACACAGCTTTTCTTGATTTATAAGAAACAGTTTCAAAGAAATCCCCGAAACAAGAGCAAGCCAGCAAAAATCTGCTTTCTGAAAACGAAGAAAAACAGTTTCAAAGAAGAAAATGGCAACAGCTGTTCTTTAAAGATTGAATTTTTATTGCTTTCTATTTCAGTAAAGTGATTGGTTGTTGAAAAGCAAAATCAGTTGCGTGTTTTATTTAAATAAAAGAAGATATAATCCTGACCGTCTATTTTTTCATCAGACTTGATCCAACAGTGATAAAGTTTTGTGATTTCGGGATATATTATATATGGATAAGGTTTATTTAATTATTTTCCACTTTTTTCTGGTAATTTATGATAAGTTGTTGAAAAAGCGTAATTAATTAAGTTTGCGTGTTTCAACTTTCAAACAAGGGGTGGTTGATCCTGGACGTTGGTGTTTTTTTCATCAGAGTGGATCTAACGGTGAGGGAAATTTTATGATGGTTACGAATTTATGAGGTGAAGTATAAACGGATAAGGTTTATTTAATAATTATTTATGACTTTTTTTTTTGTGGTATGTGGTGACTGGTGAGTGGTTGGTGCACGTGAATAGTGTACTGCGGGACACGTGGTGGCATGTAACCTTGAATTTTGGAAAAAAGTAAATGATTTGCGGATATGATTTGGATAAAACCCTGGTGCTCTGCCACCTCATTCTTGTGTGGGACCAATCCCAAGAAATTTTTTTTTTTTTTTTTTTTGCCATTGACCGGACACAAATTCGGATCCACCGGTAACTAAAATTTATTTATTTAATTCTAGAATAATAAAATTTTATCGGCTTCTTACCACCCCTACGTTTGAGGAAATAACATATAGACCCTACCAATATTAGAAATCACATTATCTCCCTTGAAATTTCATAAAACCATCAAGAGAATGGTTTGATCCATCCTAAGTTTCTGGTCGATGATTTAATCAGATGCTAACAAATCTTGAATCCCTATAAAAGCGTAAAACAGAAAAATAACAAATAATTAATAATACACAGAAACACAAGATTTATAACAATTCATTCTTCGTATGAGAGCTACCCGTTGCGAAATTTCGGTACGAAGAAGAAGAAAAATTATAAAAGTCTCTCACAAGCTTCACAAATTGACTCTCTTACTAAACCTCTCTTTGATTGTAATATTGTCTTCTATTGTATTGAATTATTTAACTCTAAAATATGACATGTGATAACTATTTCTAATATGTTTTAAATCTCTTTATACTTACATGACTTTTACTTTAATTCTTAATACAGTTATATTCCTATTCTTAGTTGTATTTAAAAAAAAAAAAAAATTATACATAGAAACATATTATAGAAACTCATATTCTGATACAATACTAATGTGGATTGAATTTGACCCTTCAAACTAATAATCGTTGATCAAAACTTAACCCTAAAACAATGTTTTTTTTTTTATGCAAAGAAGAGTAAATTAAAGGTGAATTACTTAATTTTTCCTTACGTGTAAAAGTAAATTGTCCGTTCTGCCTTTAAATAAGTTAACGTCTATCAGAATTATGTGTATATCTAGCAGTTTAAACTATAGAATTTGGACATACTAGACCCAAAGGTTAAAAAAAAATAATAATAATAATAATTATCTCTAAAATCATCACTTCCCCCATCGATCAAGAAAAATTTGCCATTAAATTTTTATGGTTATAGGGAGGTAAATGATCTTTTTTCCAAATCTGAGAGGAGAATAGATAACTTCACATCCTCCGGGGTTTTCCAATCAATTCCAATCAATTCCTAAATCTCAGGGTTATTTTATATTTTATTTCAAAATTTAAATATAGCTATATTGAAATTAAAAATTAGTTTAATTCTTTAGTTTTCACTGCTCCTAAAACTCTAACCGCTTTATTTTTGTAGTTGGATAAATTTTATCTAGAGGTGTCTATTTATAAAATTAGTCTAAAAAAATTATAATTAATATGATGAGTAATGTTATGCTTATTCACGATCTTACTAATTATTTTACTAACCTTTATTAAAATTATATATGATACCTATATTAATAAGATAATTAGTAAGATAGTGAATAAGTATAATATTATTGTTAATATGATATAATTCTATTCCAAATAATATTATCAGAATAACTGAATACACTTAAAATTTATGATTAATATACATTTTATTTATTCTAAATAAATAAATAAAAATACATTCTTCCATGTTTCTTTCATATTTCTAAGTTTCCTTCAACCTCAAGGGTGTTGTAATACTCTGAAAATGTTATAGATAGCAAAAGATCACATATATGTTTTAATTTATGTTTTAATTTATGTTTATTAACATGTTTAATATTTATGTTTTCATTTATGTTCTTGTTCTTTATTTATGTACATGTTCTTCTTTTATATTCATGTTCTCTATTTATGTGGTTGTTTAATATTCACTAGCCCTTTTAGATGATGTTAGAATCTGTTTTGGTGTACGTGTGTGTGGGATAAAAGGAGGGCCTTGACCATTTTTAGACCGATCGTTGTGTTGATTGGTTCCGCTTAGGTCGGCTATCATAGTTTCCCACATGCATAAACTCCATGATTTTCTNGTGTACTGCGGGACACGTGGTGGCATGTAACCGTAAATTGTGGATAAAAGTAAATGATTTGCGGATATGATTTGGATAAAAGCCTGGTGCTCTGCCACCTCATTCTTGTGTGGGACCAATCTCAAGAAAATTTTCTCTTTCTTTTTTCTTTTTTTTTTTTTTTTTGTCATTGACTGGACAGAAATTCAGATCCACCGGTAACTAATTTTTTTTTTATTTAATGCTAAAGTAATATAATTTTATCGGCTTTTCTTACAACCCCTACGTTTGAGGAAATAACAGAAAGACCCTACCAATGTTATAAATCACATTATCTCCCTTGACATTTCATAAAATCATCCAGAGAATGATTTGATCCATCCTAAGCTTTTGGTCCAAGATTTAATCAGGCGCTAACAAATTTCAAATCCTTATGAAAGTGAATATAAAGCGAATAAAAGATAAATAATTAACTATACACACAAACATAAAATTTATAGTGGTTCGCCCTTCGTATAAAGGCTTCTCGTTGAAGAATTTCACTATAAAGAAGAAGAAAAATGGCAAGAGTCTATCACAAGCTTCACAAATTAACTCTCTCGCTAAACCTTTCTCTGGTGGCTCTCACTACCTATAATACATGAGATATTATTCTTACTATAAATAGTACAATTATATTTTTATTCTTCATGTTATAAAACATATCCTGATACAATATTAATTTAGATTGAATTTGGCTCCACAATTTTAACAATATCCCCCTCAAACTAATAATCGCAAATCAAATCTTAACTCTAAAACAATGTTTTTTATGCAAAGAAGAGTAAATTAAAGGTGAATTACATGTTTTTCCCTTACGTATACGAGTGAATTGTTCGTTCTGCCTTTAAATAAGTTAACGTCTATTAGAATTAGGGGTCTATTTAGTAGTTTAAAGTTTAAACTATAGGATTTGGACTACAAGATCCAAACCTTTGGGTGCGTTTGGGTCATTATTTTGGATATGATTTTCAGAATAATATTGGGTAGTTGAATAGGAGAGTATTACGAGGTAAAATTTATAAATTTATAAAAAAAAACCCCTAGTTTTGCTAATTTAATTAAACACCCCAATATATAAAATGACAAAAACACCCCCACCACCTGCAGTGCCAGATTCCGGCCACCACCGCCAGAATCTGGCTGGAAAATTAAGTTGCGACACATAACGGTCGAATCTGTATCATACCACGGATCTGACCAGAAAAGGCCAGATCTACAGCAGAATGTGGCCGTCGCTGACAGCCAAATTTGGCCTTTTCCGGCCAGATTGGTAAATAACCGACCAGTTCCGGTCGGTTATTCACCGTTATGACAGATTTCGGCTACCACTGACGGTTGTTGTTGGAATCTGGCAAGTATGGATAGGTGGGGATGTTTTTGCTAATTTTTAAACTTTTTTGGGGGGTATTTAGTGAAATTTATAAACTTAAAGGGTCTAAAATAATTAAAAATACACTAATATTTCTGGAATAAAGTGCCAAACAATATTTGGGGAATAGGATTGGGAATATGGGTAGAAATATTGAACCAAATACACTTCTTAAACCTCAGGATTATTTTTATTTCATTTTAATTTTTAAATATAATTATATTGAATTAAAAATTAGTTTAGTTTCCACTATTCCTAAAATTCTAGCCGCTTTCTTTTTTCTTGGATTAATTTTCTCTTGAGGTGTCAATTTACAAAATTAGTCTAAAATAATTATAATTAATATATTTAGTTCTATTCCAAATAGGGCCGTATGAAAGTCGAGCTTGAGCTCGAGTACCCTCTTGAGCTAAGCTACAAACCACCCAATACTCGACTCGATAGGCTCGTGAATGGCTGAAAGGGTATAAGTGTTATTTTTTTAAGTATCAAGGGGTTATAAAAACTTATTATATCCTATAAAATCAGTCCAATTCCTAAACCCTATCTTCTTTCTCCTTCTCTTTTCTTCATCTTTTTCCTCCTCCTCCTTTCTTTCTCCTCTTTTTTCCTTCTTCTTCACCTTTCTTCTTACTTCTCTTTCGCTCTTCCATCTCTTTTCTCCTCTCTCTTTTCTTTTCTTTTCTCTCCTCTTCTCTTTTCTTCTCTCTCTCATAGCCGGTGGAATTTTGAGTGATATATTTGCGACTGTTTGGCTTTGGATTTGATGATGCTTGGTGACGACTAGCCTTTTTTGGGGGTTATCTTTAATGGGTTGGCTTTGGATTAAGGTTGTTTTGAAGGATTGTTGGTGGACTGCTTTGGATCGAGGACTCATAAACAAGTTGTTCACGAGCCAAACTTTGAGCTCAAACTATTTAACGAATTCGAGCTTCAAACCTAGTTTTCAAAGCTCGTCGATCCTAGGCTCGAGCTCGAGTTCGTTAAATTTTCACGAGCCAAGCTTCAAACACTATAGTGTTCGGCTCGGCTCGTATACCACCTTTTTCCAAATAATGTTATCAGAATAAATAAATACACTTATAAATTATGATTAGTACACATTTTATTTGTTCTAAATAAAAATAAAAGCATATTTTCATTATGAGTTTTAAAATAAATTTTTTTATTATTATTTTAAAA